GGGGGGGGGTTGGGGGGGATGCAAGATGACTCAAGTAGAGAGGGAAGACAAACGGGGGAAGGTGGTGGCACATGACAGGAGGAAGGAATAAGAACAAGAAGGGTACACAGCAACACAGGTGCGGGAGAAGCAGGGCAGGCAACAGGGTACCATCAGGCTCGGGGTAGGGTGGGGAAAGGTAAAGCCCAGGGAAACCAATGAAAAGGCAGAGAGAGGGAGGCAGCAGACAGAGGAAGGATGAAGACACAGAAAGGTGAGGAACTGGCAAAACCCAGGGTGGTGAACTTCGAGATGTCCACAGCAGGGAAGAGAGGAAGACCCAGGCAGAAATGGAAAGATGGAGGCGCAGACAGACGGAAAGGGTGAACGAAGTTGGGGGTGCCCTTCCCGCGATCATCCCCCACGCCCACCCCACACCCAGCAAATCCAGACACCGCGGCCTCTGGCGTCCTAGCCTCCACCTTCCCCTGCGGGGCAGGGGTGGCTCCTCCTCGGCCCAGCCTGGGCATAGAGCGGCGATAATAGCGGCGGAGGCTTGATGGTCCCGGGGGTTCCGGGTGTGTGTGAGGGGCTGGGGCGGGGGGCGGGCGCGGCCCCTGGGAATCCCTAGCGGTCCAAGTTCATAGTCCAATGCTTGGCTCCGGCCGCGCAGCTGTCCCTGGCGGTCGAGGAGGAGGTGGTGGACGGGCCTCCGCTGGATGGACCCCCGGTGCCTGCCGCGGCCTCGCCCTCGTTCTTGAGATCTTGAAAGACTTGCGTGAAGAAGTGGGGGTCGGCGTTGAGCCGTAGCATCTGCGGGCTGAGCCGCTGGATGAGGCGCAGGCAGCGCTGCCAGAAGCGCTCCTTGTCGGGCTCCACGAGGAAGGGCTTGAGCGGATAAGAGATCTCGTTGCCCATGTAGGAGTAGGCGAGGTAGAGGCAGGTGAGGAAGGCGGCCTGCAGTTCGGCGGCCGACGCCAGCTCGTCCCCGCGCAGCGACTCGCGGCACAGCAGGTATACGAACACCAGGTTGGCGGGCGTAATGAAGGCCTGGTCTTGCCAGCCCTGCAGCAACAGCGAGCGGTCCACGCCGCGGAACCAGCCCACCAGCTCGCCGGGGCTCAGCTCCTTGAGGCGGTAGCAGCGTCGGCACACGAAATCGCCGAGGCAGCGCAGCAGCTCGCCCGTGGACGCCTGCACGATGACCCGCCGTGGCGAGCCTCCGGGCGCCGGCGGAGCCGCCTGTAGGGCTGGGGGTGGCGGCGGCGGCGGCTTTCCCCCGCCTGAGCCTGGTGGCGGGGCGGCCGCGCTGCCCCCCGACGGGGGCTCGCAGGTGGCAGCGGCCGCGGGCACCGTGGGCACAGGCACGGCCAGGGGCTTGGCGGTTCCGCCGCCGTCGGGGGCGTCGCGGCCCTTGCGCAGAAGGTTCTCGCGGTTGCGCTGCTGGACCAAAGGGTCGGGACCAGTGGATGCTGGCTTGGGCGTCACCTTTTTGCTGCCTTTCTTCTTCTTGGCCGAGGCCGCCACCAGGCGCTTCCAGGTGAGCGCCGAGATGAGCACGGACGGCCGTTTGAGCCGGCTCTCGCCTTTGCCGCCCTTGCCCGCCGGTGGCGCACCGTAGCCCCCCAGCGCCTCGTCCCCCGCGGGCGGCGCCTTCTTTTTCTCCTCCGGCAGCCCTCCCGGCCTCCGGCCCTTGGCCGAGGAAGCAGGGGAAAGCGACAGCACCGTGCCCATCCTGCAGAGCGGGGCCGGCGCCCGGGCCCCGGCGGGAACCGCGGGCGGCGCCGCTGCTGCTGCAGCCCCGGGGGACCCGGCGGTGGGGGGCCTAGCCCCGGCCCCGGCGCGCGGACGGGCGGGGGAAGGAGCCGCTCTGCTGCGCCGCGGCGGCTGCTCTGAGCCGAAGCTGCGCCAGCTGCAGAGTCAGCCCCACCCCTTGGGCCCCTTCTTTCGCCACGCCGCGCCCGCCTCACGCAGCCAATCCTGACTCAAGATGTTTTTGATCGGCAGTTTCTCTGACCAATGGAATGCCGCATGTTAATCTAAAGTCCCGCCTTACCCACCGCCCGGAGTCTTCGGTCCCTTACCTTTACCCAAAAGGGGAAAGGGGGAAATGAGGAAAGGAGAAAGGGAGGGGGCGTGATTCTGGGGTCTCTTTCTCGGCCTGGGTAGTGCGGGGGTGGGGGGGGGGGTCGAAGTGAGATGTAAATAGCTGTTTCCATCTCTTCCTCCAGGTCCTAAAACCTGGGTCTGGATGTGTTTTGATACTCTGGGTCCAAGCCGCAGTACAGAAGCCATGGGAACAGCCTTCCATTTGCTCACCTTTGAGTTTATTTAGTAGGCAATATGGCTGTGAGTCGAGGCACCTCAGCCGCACCTGCTGGCGTCTCCAATCTGGACGACCAGTTACATTCCTCTTCGTCGCCTCCCCATCCCCCAGCACTTCCCTGCTCTGTGAGTGAATGCTAGTGGATGGGACTTTGAGCCATCCCACCCTTCCTCCTTTGCAAGAGGAGTCTTTGATTCCTGGGGTGGGAGCAGGGAGTCTCAAGATAAGTCCCTAATGCTTCCCTACGTGATTCATTCCCTGAATCTGCTCCTGACCCCTGGACAGCTCCTTTTTGATTGGTTGTCCCACCAACATATTGATCTCACCCTGGGGTGGGTGATAGATGGTTGGACTCTAGGGAACTCTGCAAATTGGATCAGTTGATGACCGCAGGCTGGGACAGCAAATGGGGCCTTCTGTGTGGTAATAGGCCCGGGAGGGTTGGCTCAACTTCCAGTCAAGACATTGGTCCATGTTGAGGTGGATTTTATTGCTCAGGTCCCAGCTGATCCCACTCCCAGATGCTTGCTAGCTGCTAGACCGGGTGCTGCCGATTTCCCCGGATCCTTCCATTCTCTCCACAGTGCCCATAGGCCTTTGTCCTAGACTTTGGAGTCTTTCAGCCTTACCTGCAGGTTGTGAGCACCCCTTGTTGTGGACCTGTTCAGTGTACCTTGTAGGACCCTTCTCTCCCAGCCATGCTCTAGATTCCATGCCAGGAGTCTCCCAGTTTCTTAGGTGTATCTTGGACGCTGGCTTGGGGGGGGGGGTTAGTGGACAGAGAAGTCCCTGCCTGTCGATTTTTCAGAATTGTTCTCGAATGTCTCTCTCTAAGGCACCATCAGGCCTGCCTCCATCTCCATCAGACCAGCACAACACAAAGACTCACTGCTGTCGGGATCAGTGTGCACCCACAGTCCTCTCTGTGTGTGTTTCCTATAGAAAGGCTGTGCTGAGTCCCCCTGGCTTCAGCTTTTCTCTGCAGACTCACAACCACTGCTCACCGCCCACTCCCAGAAGCTGAGGTCAAATCTCCCTTCACTAAACCATGGTCACGTACAGACTTGGGTTCTCTCTCTCTCTCTCTCTCTCTCTCTCTCTCTCTCTCTCTCTCTCATTCATTGTGGGGGAGGTGCACCTGCTCGTCACAGCATGTTTGGAGGTCAGAAGACAGCTTTGGGAAATCAATTTCTGCCCCCCACTGTACGGATGGTGGGGACCGAACTCAGATCCTTAGGCTGGGCTGTGAGTGATTTTACCCGGCTCAGCTCTCTCACCAGTCCCAAAGCGCTCTTTCTCAGCGGGGTCTTTCTGTGCCCTTGAGTCTGCTCTTTATTCTTTTGTGCCCAGCCTCCCATTCTCTCCATAGCTATGGGGAAAAGTTCCCTCTCTGTGGCTCCTGTAACGGCCCCCTTACTTCCGAGTCAGCCTTTATTTGACACCCAAGGAACAGTTGGCTCACTTGGTATTTAAGGACAGGCCCCACTGAGACTGAGCTATGCTGGCCAAAACCTGGCATGTGAATCTGAATGGGACGGGGGTCCTGGGTCCCAGGGGTCTCTCACTGACATCGGTATTGTTGGTACCACTTAGGACAGGGCTCTGCACCATGGATCTCACAGGTTGGTGTCCCTACTCTAGGCTGTGACCTTCTGTTATCCTGTTTGTCAGAATCAAGAACTCTTTCCTGTTTCAGGGTCACCAGATCACTGCTTCTGAGAATCTCATGTCCCTTACCCCATCTGAAACTCTCTTTCTGGCTTACAGGCACTCCTCTTTCCTGCCCTGATTATCCTCCTGGGTCTCTGAGAACGTGCTGTGGCCATCTATCAAGCTCTTCAAAGCCCACCTCCTGCAGGAAGCTTTTCTGAACTGACTGGAAGAGGAAGCTAGAAGCACTAAGGAGTGAAAGAGAAGCACATTATACAGGGTAGAGGCCCAGGGGGATAAAGATGGTGGAACCAGGAAGACTTCATGGAGGAGGGAGACTTTAGAGAAGGTCGGTGAGTTTCTTGCCACATCTGTAACTGTTTTCCTGGTTGCATTATGTTTAGAGCCTGTGTATGATTCATTAATTGTGCTAGTTTCTGGATGTTGTTTCTCATCTGACCATTCCTGTATGGCCTCTGGAACCATGCTGAGAGCAGGCTCCCTGGTTGGCTCTAATACTCTGCAGATGCCAAGGCTATGGCAGCAGGTCCAGACTAGACCAGGAGCTACAAGGCCCAGGACTTACTGATGAAGGTCCCCACCAATTTATCTTAGAAAAGCCCCTCAATCCCCTCCCTGGGCAGGTGAGCTAGGAATGTCTCCAAGCCATGCAATGGAAACCCCTTATCCATTTAGCTAACCTTCCCTTCTCCCTTTCTGAGGATTTAGCCTAAAAGACAGGAGCTAGGAGGTACAGCCCAGAGCTTGCCATTTACATGACCTTGGGGAAGTCATTCTGTCTCTCTGAGCCTGTTTCTTCATGATAAAACTCAGGGATTTGGCATGTTTTACTTTTATTATCAGATAAGAAATCACTATTAGAAGAATAAGATAGTATTTTAGGAATTGCACAGAAAGAGTTCCTACAGCTTCTTCAATCCTACAGCTCTGATTCCAAATCAAATTCGGCCTAAGAATCTGCTTCTCTCTCTAGCTCCAGCTTCCCCCTAATCTGTTTCTGTCTGCTAGGCTCAGGCTTTGTGTGCACAGCATCCATGTGAGGCCTGTGTGTCTGCAGTTCAGCCTGGGAGACAAGGCAAGTGGAGCTGGAGCTATTAGCAATGCAAATTATCCCTCTGTCCCTAGGAGCTCTACCGGAGACCCTGGAAGGGAGGCTAGCACAGGAAAGGAGGCCCAAGCTGCTTCAGATTCAGGGTCTCCCCAGTAAACATAAAACCTGGAGATCCCAGACCCTACATGTTGCATCCACACATCTTTGAAGGTCTCCTATAAAGAGGCTTGCACAGGTTCTTAAAACAGCCATGGTGGAGCTGCAGCCTAGGCATCTGAAAGCTTGGATCCTGCTGCCTGCCCCCAGCTCCCATAAGATCCACCAGCTCCAGTCAGGCTCGCTGGTCCTGAGATGTGCTGAGAGGTGAACCAGCCTAGTCCTCTCTCCCTCTCTCCCCTCCCGCATTCCCTCTCTTCCCTCCCTCCCTCCCTCCCTCCCTCATTCCCTCTCTCCCTCCTTCCCTCCCTCCCTCCCCCAAGGGCTTACCTCAGGAGACCTGAGTTGTCAAGGCTCAAAGCCTTAGGGAGGTGAACCCCTCCTAAAATAACAAAGTAGAGTGAGAGGGGACATGCCTGAGGAGGACAGGAAACTGACAGTGGAGGTGGGCTAGCTGCCAGAAGCTCCCCATTCTCACCTCTGTCCTTAATAGGAGGCTGTGTTAGAAGGACTTGATTAAGGAGCCCACATAAAGGTTCCTTAGAAAGGGGAATAGAATTAGGAACATGGAAAAGGAATGTGATGCTCTGGGGTAGAGAAAGGACCAATGCTGAGCTAGGGGAAGATGCAGAAGAGG